TCCTACTAGTAATTGCAGCGATCAATGACTTTGCAGGACTGTGGCTGGGGGACACTGGGGGGGAAATTAACTTGGTGTCACTGACATCCCCAGTGACAGCAATACAGTGCTAAAAAAACAGAAACAGCACTAACACTGTACTAATGACACTGGGCAGGAAGGGGTTAATGTGAAGGGTGATCAAAGGGGTTAACTGTGTGTAGGGAGTGTATTACTAGGGGACAGGGGGTGTGATTTACTGTAAGCACACTGCACAACACGACAAACCAATGTGCAGGGGCTGACAGGGGAGAGATCTGTATGGTTTACATACAGGTCTCTCCAGGTCAGTGATACTCAGCGATTGCCAGTGGGGAATCACCCAGGACCTGGTGATCGACAGCTGAGGCCGCCAATGGTGGCATGGGTAGGGAGCATGCGCTCCCCCTGCTCGAAAATGCAAAATCACACAATTATGCACAGCCCTGCCACCCTGTAGCAGTATTTCTGCTATAGGGCAGCGGGAAAGCAGGTAAGGAGCAGTCAGCCACCGGGTCCTTAATGAAAACAAAAGAAGTGCCAGTTAAGAATAAAAAAAAAAAAATCAAAGGAAGTGCCAGTTAAGAATAAAAAAAAAATCAAACAAAAAAACCCTGCATGAAGGTCCCCCCTCCAATCCTTATAAGACCCTTATCAGAGCATGCAGACCTGAACCATACCAGGCAACATGCCTTCAACATGAGGGGGGTGCTTTGGGGAGGGGGCCTCTTCCCCAAAACTCTAGGTGGTGGTTGTGGGGATATGCAGCTCGGAATCTGGAAGCCCCAGATCCCACCCCTCCCCCCCCAAAAAAAAGTTTGACAAGTTCTTTATTAAAAAAAAACAAAATAAATAAAATGTCCCCCGAAGTAGATACGTCAGTTACAATGAATGCGCAAAAAAGAAAAACCGCTGCCTGCCAAACAGAACGTTTCCATTTCAAGGACACACATCGAATGACAGGTGAACACGGGGGCATCAACCCCCCCCCCTCCCCACTGTGAGGAAGGGCACTTACCTGTTTCTCCTCCCCTCCCACCTTTCTGGCCTGCATGCTCAGGTAAGGGTCCAGTTTGGATTGGGGGGTGGTAGACACCTTCACTGTTTGTCTTTTTTTAACCACTTGCCTTCCAGAGAATTTACCCCCCTTCCTGACCAGGCCATTTTTTTGCAAAACGGTGCTGTGTTACTTTAACCACCTCCCGCCTGCCATATAGTAATATGACAGGCGCAAGGTGGTTCTCTCTTTCTGGGAGGACGTCATATGACGTCTTCATATTCTCACTGCGCATGCGCGGCTCAAGGAGCGCGACGATCGGCGGTGCGCTGTGTCCCTCGGACACAGCGGATCACCGATCACAGAAAGAGCTGAAGATGTTGGCTTGGTCATGTGATCAGCTGTGTCCAATCACAGCTGATCACATGTAAACAGCGAAATGCCGGTTATCGGCATCTCTCTCCTCTCGGCCTGTCACGCTGACAGCTCGAAAGGAGAGCCGGTAATCGGGCTTTCTGCGGAGGGGACATGTACACTGATCATCAGGGCACTGATGATCAGTGTGCCGATGATCAGTGTGGCCCCAGCAGTGCCTTATGTCAGTGCTCATCAGTGCCTCATGCCAGTGCACATCAATGCCACATATCAGTGCCCATCTGAGCTGCCTTTCAGTGTCACCCATCAGTGCCAGTCAGTGCCACCTATCAATGCCACCAATCAGTGCCACCTAACAGCGCCCATCAGTGATGCCTGTCAATGCCCATCAGTGCCACCTACCGGTGCCTCCTCATCAGTGCCCATCAGTGCCACCTATCAGTGCCCATCAATGCATCCTCATTAGCGCACATCAGTGAAGGAGAAAAATCACTTATTTACAAAATTTTAAAATATTTTTTTTTTAAATTTTCAGTGGTTTTTGGTTTGTTTAAGAAAAAATAAAAAACCCAGAGGTGATTAAACACCACCAAAATAAAGCTCTATTTGTCACAAAAAAATGATAAAAATTTCATAGGGGTACAGTGATGTTTGACCGCGCAATTGTCATTCAAAGTGCGACAGCGCTGACAGCTGGAAATTGGCCTGGGCAGGAAGGGGGTATAAGTGCCCTGTAGGCTAGTGGTTGCCTGACAATTGTGTGGTCATGCAATGCTGAACCCAAATTAAATTTGCATACTTCTTCCTCCCACAACTAGAGCTTTCTTTCCATGGTATTTGATCGCCTGTGCAGTTTTTTATTTTTTGCACTATAAATCGACATTTCGTCATAAATTTAGGACAAAATGTATTCTGGGACATGTCTTTTCTAAAAACAATCCCAATACTTGTAAATTAATTGGTTTGTGTGAAAGTTATAGCATTTACAAATGGCGGTATATATGCCTTTTTTTTTTTTTTTTACTAGTAATGGCGGCGATCAGCGACTTATAGCGGGACTGCAGTGGGCATTCTGACACTGATGGGACCTGACTTGGTATCACTGACACCAATACAGTGATCAGTGCTAATAAAATGCACCGACACTGTACTAATGGCACTGGGTAGGAAGGGGTGATGTGAGGCGATCAAAGGGTTAACTGTGTGCTGTTTCGCTATGTGGGATGTGTGCGTTTCACTAAGCACACTGCTTTTTATGGCTCTGCAGAGCCATACAAACTAGTGTGCAGGAGCGGACAGGGAAGAGATCTGTTTTTATACACAGGTCTCTCCCCCGTCGGAGATACTCGGCAATCACCGGCCAGGACCCAGTGATTGACAGCTGAGGCCATGAATGGTGAACTGCAAATTCACATATATATGCACACATGATTTTGCACACCCGTGCCGCCCTGTACTGGTATTTCTGCTATAGGGCGGTGCGGAAGTGGTCAACTGCCACTTGATTTGTTTACATTTTGCTGACAGCGGGGAATCCCATTGACAGCAGATGAGTCACGGTTGTTAAGGACACAGTAGTCACCTGCTCCTTAACAACCACAGCTATTTACAATGAATCAAGACCATTATGGAACAAATTCTAAAAGGACGTCATCTGAATGAAACAAATGCATTTGTTATTTTTTCATTAAAACTTTTCGGATTTGTTGCAATTCATTTCTAGGTTCATTCCAAAATTCAAATGCATCCGAATCTCCAAAAAATTTAATTTTACTCTGATGAATATCATTGCTTACTATGTGTGAAATTTTCACACATCATTGCTTACTACGTGTGAAATCTGTGAATAATCACAGAGGTCAGATGGTACAAGGCTATTCACAACAGCCTTGTACCATGTGGCAAGCTGTGACCAATCACAGCTCACACAGTATTTCTCACTGGCTGCAAGAATGCAGCCAGAGAGAAGGAGAAATGATTGCTTTTACACCCATAAAGGCTGTAAAAACAATCACTGTAAAAAAAAAAAAAAAACTCATCACCCCCCCTTTACAAGTAGTAAAGTGTCACTATGGTGACACTGTACTGCTAGGGTAAGAGTATGTAAAAAAAAAAAAAAAAAAAAAAAGTTTTAAAAAAAATTTTATAATTTTTGCTTATAAAATAAATTTGGGTTATTTTTTTTTTTTTATTAAAAAGTTAACTGAATACATTTTGGCCAAGATGAAGAAAGATTTGCAAAATTTTAGAAGAAAAATTTTTGGACTTTTTCATTAATATAGGAAAAAAAAATAAAAAATCCCAGTGCTGAATTAATACCACCAAAATAATGTTTTAACTGTCTCAAAAAAATTAATATGGGTACAGTGTTGCATGAACACGCAATTGTCAAAGTGTAACAGCACTGAAAGCTGAATATTGGCCTGGACTGGAAGAGGGTAAAAGTGTCTGGACAGGAAGGGGGTAAAAAAAAAAAAAAAAAAAAAGGAACAGAATTCCCAATGCTCACATTCAGTATGGATGGGGGAGTCACTCTCGCTGAGCTATTATATCCTGCCAGCATAGAGCCTTCTCTGCTGGCAGAACAAAGATCAGCATTGCCGGCTATAGCCAGTGGCACTTATCATTCGATAAAAAACCAACAGGCTGGTTGTGCACAAGTCGATTGACAGATTCAAAATGAACGGCAGCCCCATGCGTCTTGCAAGATCAGAGTGTTTTGGCTGCGGGAACAGGTACAAATCCTGCACTGGCAACCAGCCCGCGGGCTAGTGTGAACCCAGTGTAAATGTAAGGGTTTTCCATGTCATCATGTGACTGCAAAGCATTTACTGGTCCATGTGTCACTGCCAGTTAAACCCCATAGTGCAGAGACATCACCCATCAGCATCCACAGTTCCAGGATGTTATCAGGGAGCACGAGTTTGTGTTTGGTGCAAACCTGGAAGTCAGCTGTCATCACTGAGCCAATGAGCTGCAGGCGGTGTATTTCCCACCCTGCACATATACCAAGGGACAGGAATGCTTGTGACATCATAGGGCCAATGACCGCAGGTCTAGGTGTCCACAAGGGCAATGTCACAGGCAAACCTGTCCCTTTGTGTATGTGTGCAGCATGTGTGGAATCCTCCTGCTGCCGTTCATTGGCCCAGCAATGTCATTCAACATCCAAGTTCAGAAGAAAACCAAGCTGGTGACTAGTTGTCAGTAAGCAGAGTGCTCATGTCCACCAGCTTCAACATCAGAGAGTGGATAGAGCTGGGACGTTTGCAGTCTCTAACCACATAAAAGACAACTGCATTTAGATGGCAATTTACTATAGAAGGTCTATGGCGGAGCCACATGTATCTTGTGTAGCCGTGCTTCCACTTTAAGTCAAGGTCACATGTCCCTGCAGGGAGTCAGGTGGAAGGTCAGTGAAGGAAACCCAGGAGATATTAGCAGGCTCGTCAGACCAGCGTGACACACTAACCCGCAGCTGCAGCACAGTCCACGTGCGGCTCAGAAGAGAGGGGGGGCTCTGTGCGGGAATACTTCTCATTCACAGCTCAGCACGACCGTGCCACAACCTAACGCCCCTCTCCGTGTGGAGGCAGCAGCGTCTACTTACTGAAGTAGAGCCGGTACTCTGTGGTGTTGGGCCGCCCTCTTTCTTCAATGCCATAGCGCTGCATGCTGAGGCGGCGGAGAAGCGCCGGGGGCCTTCCTAGGCACTGAGTCCAGGCAGCTGGGCACAGCCTAAGCGAGCCGTATCGCCATAGCGCGCTCATATTTTATCCCCTCCTCTGTCAGTCAGGCTCGGCCCCTACAGGCTCCGGAGGACAAGCCGACACTGCCATCTACACGCCTGACAAGGGCACGGCACGCAGCTGAGGCGTCCAGAACATGGCCGCTGGGAAAACAAAAGCCAAGCCACAGAAAATGGCTGACCGGCCTCTCGACGCTGATTAGCCGGCGGCCCTTCTACATGACAGAGCTGGCGCTATGGGGAGCATTCCCTTCCTCTTCTCATGTACTAAGTCTACACCACAGCAATTGTCCTGTCTGTAACACACAGCCGACCTTTACATGGCTAAATATAGATTGGACTTCAGAAGTATGGAAGCAGATATTTTTTTTTATTAACCACTTTCAGACCGGGCATATTCGGACACTTCTCAGATATATGGAGCAGCTTTTTATTTCGCTAGAAGCTTGCTTAGCACCCCCAAAACGTTTTTTTTTTTTAAGCAGAGACCCTAGAGCACTGTTGTCAAACTGGCGGCCCTCCAGCTGTTGCCAAACTACAAGTCCCATGAGGCATTGCAAGATTGACCGTTACAAGCATGACTCCCAAAGGCAGAAGCATGATGGGACTTGTAGTTTCACAACAGCTGGAGGGCCGCCAGTTTGACACAACTGCCCTAGAGAATGAAATGGTGGGTGTTGCAATTTCTTTTATGTCACAATGTGTGCGCAGCTGTTTTTCAAATCCAAGTTTTTTGGAAGAAAATATATTTTAATGAATTTTGGTGCCTAGAAACACAATATAATACCCAATTTTTTGGTAAAATATAAATGATGTTATGCTGAGTAAATGGACACCTAAATTGTTATGCTTTAAAATTTCACACGCGTGAGAAACGGAGACAAATTGCGTACATTTAATTATCCCTAGATAGCACTTTAAAAGCCTTCACAGCATGGGTGTCAAACTGGCGGCCCTCCAGCTATTGCCAAACTGCAAGTCCCATGAGGCATTACAAGATTGACAGTTACAAGTATGACTCCCAAAGGTAGAGGCATGATGGGACTTGTAGTTTCGCAACAGCTGGAGGGCCGCCAGTTTGACAGCCCTGCTTTACAGGTTACCAGTTTAGAGTGACACAGAAGGCAGTAGAATCATAGCTCTCACTCTGACATTCACAGTGATACTTAAAGCGGAGCTCCACATAAAAAGGGAAGTTCTGCTTTAAGGACTGGTCCCCTGCTCCCCGTTAAGGATTGGCACCTTTGGGAACAGGTACCTGAAATTGACAGGTACCCGCTCCCACTTCCGCTGAGATCACCTAAGCTAGGGGTAGGCAATCTGTGGCTCTCTAGCTGTTGTGGAACTATATTTCCCATGAGGCATTGCAACATTACAAAACTGACAGTTACAGCTATGGCTTGCATAGGCATGATGGAACTTGTAGTCCTGCAACAGCTGGAGAGCCGCAGGTTGCCTACCCCGAAGCGGAAGTTGCCCTCCTACCCTCCTTCCCCATAGTCTTCTGGGACACATGACAGGTCCCAGAAGACGATGGGACCATTCAGGAAACGCAGTGCATCTCACACATGCTGTCACAGCTGGGTTCCCACACTGAAGATGTCAGCACCTGGAACACCAGACAGCCGGTGAAACGGGCTGCGGGGAGGACACCACGGGATCGTGGGACAGGTGAGTGGCTTTTTTTTTTTTTTTTACAGTGAGTGGAACTCCGCTTTAACATGTGTGGTGTGATAGCTTTTTATGTATGCGCAAGGAACTGACGTGCATTCACCTTTGCACAAGGGGACGGGTGATTTTAATTTTTTTTTTTATCAACTTTTTGCTATCACAGGATGAACAACGTGATAGTATGGGCAGTGACAGGTACTCTTTTCTAAGAGGTCTGTGGGATGGGAGAGCCCAGAAAGGCAGTAGGAAGGGACCTCCTTCCACGACCTGCAAAAGTGATCCTGTGACTAATTAGCCGCTAGGATTGCCTTTACAAAACAGTCCATCAGCAGCTGAAAACAGATACCAGGATGATGCCTGTAGCTGTATGTATTACGCTAAACCACTTGACGTTCCACAATGTACTGGTACATTGCTAGTGCTTAAGTGGTTAATCCAAAAACGTTTTTATTTGTTTTGAAATGGGCATAAATTAACCGCTTTCCCGCCACCCTATAGCAGATATACTGCTACAGGGTGGCAGGGGTGCGCAAAATCACGTATATATACATGATTTTGCCTTTCCGGGTAGGGGGCGCAAACCCTACCCACGCCGCTACTCGCGGCCTCAGCTGTCAATTACTGGGTCCCGGCCTGTGATTACTCGCCAGCACCTGGTGATAGCCGAGCATTACCAACGGAGGGAGAGAACTGTATTGCATAGCAGAGCCATACAAAGCAGTGTGCTTACAGTTGAAAGCACTAACACAGCACACAGTTAACCCTTTCATTGCCCCACATGTTAACCCCTTCCTGCTCAGTGCCATTAGTACAGTGTCACTGCATTTTAGTAGCACTGCTCACTGTATTGGTGTCACTGGGGATGTCAGTGACACCAAGCCAGTTCCCCCCGGTGTCAGAATGCCCGCCGCAGTCCTGCTATATGTCGCTGATCGCCACCATTACTAGTAAAAAAAAAAAAATCCCAGTATATATACTGCCATTTGTAAACGCTATAACTTTCACATAAACCAATTAATTTACACGTATTGGGATTTTTTTTTTTTTAGCAAAGACATGTAGCAGAATACATTTTGGCCTAAAAATTTTTTACTGGACATGTTTAATAGCAAAAAGTCAAAAATATTGTTTTTTTTTTCTCAAAATTGTTGGACTTTTTTTTTCATAGCGCAAAAAATTAAAAATGCACAGGCGATCAAATACCACTGAAAGAAAGCTATATTTTTGGGTAAAAAAAGCCCATAAATTTAATTTGGGTGCAGTGTTGCATGACTGCGCAATTGTCAGCTAAAGTAATGCAGCAATGTAATGCAAAAAATGGGATGGTCACTAAGGAGGGTAAATCCTCTGGAGGGCAAGTGGTTAACAACAGCAGTGTTGACAAAGATATACATGTATATTGAACGTTTTCAGTCAGGCCCCATTCACATTACCTGATTTGGAATTGCCCCAATTCCAAATCGCGGCAAAACACTTGATGCACATTTGGGTGCTATTATTCCTAATGGCACCCCAAACACAGTGTAAATCTGCCCCATGACTGAATCACACGGCAAAACACGTTTAAGCTTGTCTCCCAAAATGGAACAGGAGCTTTTGGGTGACAAACGCACATAGGACAGCCCACTGAAGTGAATGGGCTAACCTATGTGTGTCACGAGGAATTGTGAAAATCGCAACAGGAACGCTCATTCCCTCTACACAATATGTGAGCAAGACCTAAACAAATAGCTAAGATGAAGTGTGCGATTACAGATGCGACATTGCACAGACACAGTGGAAATTACAATATTTTAAGTCGTACCTGTTCACATCAATGCAGCGCAGCATGTTTTTGGAAAAGGTACATATGCTACTTTGGTGCAGTTACAGAGTGATTTTGGCCCCATAGACTTCAACTGAAAAAGAAAAGTGTAAAACTCTGTATATGCTACTTGTAAATGTCTCTTTCTCTGACAAAAAAATGCATGAAGTATGAAAAACTAATAAAAAAAGTCACAGCTGCACTACTGTGAACCTAGGCTTAATGCAAAATATTATAGCAAAGCCCCAAGGGCGTTTAGCTAAAGTACGAATCCCTTCAGCTTCCTGCTGCTGGGATTGACAGCTGTGTGCAGATAGCAGCAGCCGCCAAGCTTATATACTGCAAAGACGAGCTGTCGGTAGCTGCAGCTATTCGTGTTCACACAGCCAGGGATCACCTGCAGTACCCTCTTGGCAGCTAGTGCTATCTGCATGCAGCTGTCAATCTCAGCAATGGGAGTCAATAGATTCCTGCCACTTGAATTCGCACTGTGGCTAACCTCCGATGCAAACACAATCGGATGAGAAACTATAAAACCAAAAATGTTGTGTCCAATCTCAAATATAGGGATATTTGGAACATTGTAGTAAAACAGATCACAAATAGGCATATGGACCTGCAGCCTGAGTACATTGGACCTAAAACACCTAAGAGTCACTTCATAATCGAGTAGGAACTGAGTCTAACAGCAAGCAGATGATTCTGCCTGCCACCCCAAATTTTCTGAATTTGTTTTTTTTGTACAACCTCTGTGGTCATAGATATTTCCTTTATGGGAGTGTTTTATTAATCTCTACTTTCCATTGTAAGGTAGGCACCCCAGCTTGGATCCACACTTTAGTTATCAGCTTCTTAGTGGTAAACTACACCTCACGCAAAAAAGTGCTGTCAGGAGCATGTAAACCTTCCTGTTCTTTGACAGTTGCTGGTCTTATTCCAGCATCCTGGTTTTAGCTAAGAAGCATCATTGTCTGTCCTCTTGCAAGGTGATTGATGTGGCCAGTCTCTTGGTGGAGACCAAACCTGATTTAAGTCAGCCAAGCCTGCCCTCTCATGCTTGTGATATTGCATTTGTAACAGGTTTTCCAAGCTCCCTGTTTGTCTGCTCTGCTGAGTGGATTTCCCTGTGTATGACCTCGGATCGGATATCGATTACTCTCTGAACTCTGCCTGCCTTTTGTCTACAGATCTGACTCTGAACCTTTCCTGCCTTGTACCGGGACTGACATTGAACCACTCTGCCTGTCTGCCAACCACAAGTACCTGTTTGCTTTGCTCAGTTCGCTCCTGCATCGGCATGGTAGCCAGGCACTATATCATTGTGTATAAGTCATGGGGGCAACCAAGTACCAGTAGTCTTGCTTTCATTATGGAAAAGGGGGCTGCTATAGGTGAAGAACACAAGCTAGCTATAGTGTCACCACCTGCATTAGGGGTAAATGACATTATCACAAGCCTTTAACAAGAATGTTTTTCTGTGAAGATTCACTTTGCACCAGCTCAATTTTTTTTTCTGAGGAGATTTTCAAACTGACATGCCAAGTCCA